CACCCTTTCAGCCACTCTTTGTTGCTTGTTCTCTCTCTCTCTCTTTCTTTTTCTTTCTTTTTTTTTTTTCATGGCTAAATAATCCCAATTCCCTTAAGCTGTTCTCAGGTCTTTCAAACCCTTTAATTATCATTGTGTCTTTCTGCCAAGCCTCCTCTAAGTTCCGGGTCAGTTGTAGCCACCAGAATTAGACACTGTTTTCTAAGAAGGGTTTAAACAATAGTGAGGATAATGAGATAATTTCCTCATGCTGTACTTTCTATACTTTTAGTTATACATCACAGACATGGTATTTCTTTCTTTATTTTTTACACCTACATTTTTTGCTTACCCATAGTCAGATCTTCTTCCCTGTCTTTTGGAATGAACAGAAGATTTGTTATTATTACACCTTCTGTATTAAGTATGAATTCTTACTTGGCAGCATGACTTTTAATCCATCATTAAACAGACTGCCATTTAAGTATAAGTTAGAAAAAATATATAGGTTCAGATTAAGCACCAATAAACCTATGTTTTAAATAGGCACAAATTAGTAATTGCTTTCCAACTTACTGCCTTTCTATAATGGTTTGTCTCCTGGCTAGAAAGGGTTATTTTGCTAAAGCTGTTTTCTAGACTAGTGGAGCAAGAGATTGTTATAGTACATACTGTAGCTAAACACTTGCAATTCTTTTGACAAAGTCTCTCATTATGTCTTTGTCTACATGATGGAGAAACACATGCAACAGAGACTAGATGATAATATAACTGGGAAGACTCCTAGTTCTATAACCAGAGAGAGCTGAGTCATGGATTTGTGTTGACCTGAAGTGCAGGCTATGAGTGGTATGGGTCATGTTTGACCTTGGCTGTTTGATAGTTTCACTAGTGGCTTTTTAAAATAAAATTAAAACACATGTTTTAAACTAAAAGTGGCCCAAAGTTGGGAAGAATAGCCACTCTTTATTGGCTATAAGAGTTAGGATTCTTAAAGATACTGATACAATTTTATAATGAGCTCAAACTAACAGGAAAGTCCTTGAGAGATGTGAAAGGAAAGGAATCCCAATTGGATAAGTACAGAGTGGAGGAATCATGGGAAACAACCAAGAACAGCATTTCACATAATGCCCAGTAGGGCATTAATACTTTATGGTATTTACAGGCCTTATAAGTTAAAAAAGGACAAAGATCTTGGGATCATTAAATAATAAGTGTAGAAATTCTGAGGTCAAACAAAGTTTAACGTGTTTCTTTACTGATGACCTTCTCAGCTTTTAATATGTTAACATGCGTTAAGAATTTTAAGAGGCGAATATAATGTGCAATGTTTCCTTAATTAATTTGACCTTCTTTTCATGAAGCATTTTGCTGGATGATTGATCTACTAGATGCACTGGGAAACACTGACTCAGAGATTTTAGTTGAGTTGGAACCCTATGTGAGCCTACAGTACAGAACAAAAGACAGTAATCCAATTATATTATCTAGAGAAATGGAGATACCATTTCCAGCAATCATATTTGGAGAATAGTTTTCTAAAGGACAATGGCTTAGTTTGCCATATGGCCATGTCATATGAGGAAGAAATAAAAGAAATAGGGATGAAGAAACATGGATAGACATGAAAAGCTCTGGTTAAATATTTAAAGGGCTGTGCAAAGGCTGAGAACATCTGGGTTTCTGGTCAGATGGATAATAATAATGTCTATAGCAATAGCAAATATGGTTCTTCCTATGTGCCAGACATTGTTCCAAGTGCCTTTCATTTATTAACTCATGTAATCTTAAAATAACCCTGTATGGTAGGCACTGTTACTGTTTCCACTTTATAGCAGAAAAATTAAAACACAGAGAGATAAAGTTATTTTCCTAAGGTCATACAGCCAATGAGTAGCAAAGCTAAGATTTGAACTCTATTGGTTTGACTCTGGAACTTCTGCTCTTATCTGCTACGCTGATGGATTTTAGCTCAGTAGGGTAAAGTGCTTTTTTTTTTTTTTT